TTGAAAAAAATTGAATACCACAAGCTTGAAAAACCAGACCTTAAATATTGTATTCTTTTTTAAGAAATATGGGTAGGAATCATTTGGTATCCAAAATAAGCCTTAAGTTAAGTAAGAACTAGGGATTCATGAAAGAATTGGCTAAGACCCGTGAGTTGAGGCCTTGAACTGAGTGATTTGCTCGAGATTCAGGTAATGTCAAAACAACCATCTAAGCAAAATCGCTCATGAAAATTTATAATAGTTGAGCTACTTCTTTTCGCTGTTTCATTTCTCTCCGTCAATTCATTCGTTTAGGGCGAGAGCAAAAGCCCATGCAATCTTTCATTTGTATCCTGGCATGTTAAGGTTATGTATGAGATTTGGTGTTCATTGGACAAGGATAAGTAGCTCAACCAAGTAATAGTGCAAAATGACCAAAATACTCCTAGGCTATAATAGCTACTGTTCACAGCCTTGATGACCTTTAAACGACTTGAAACTTTATACACTACCTTAAATCATGTTTCTTAAGGTACGAATAAATTTGGAGGACTATTGTATCTTGTTAAGAGCTCGAACCATGGTTTAAATAAAAATTATCATATTTCTCCTACCGTCTAAGACTAAGAATTTTAAGAATTTAAGTATCTCCTTTGGTCATGGTCTTATGAATTCATAACATGAATGAAGCTAAGGAAAGGCTTAAATTTACCTTACCGCTATACATGCACCATGCATAGGGTATGATCATAACCTCTAAGCACGTGGTGTACTATGCACCCTAAGTGATCATAACCTCTTAGCATATGGTGTACTATGAAGCCCTATTTCTATTTTTAGGTGGGATGTTCTATGTCATGGTCATGCATGTCTAAGGTACGTTGTCTGTGGCTGCATGCCAGATATCTTGGTCATACTTATCCATGACGTATTGTACATGGTCATATCTTGTTTGAAACTCCTTTTACTTGTTTTCATGTGTAATAGGTCTTTATTATTCTTGACATGTCAATATGGAGTGTATGACCATTCACCAAAAAATGTCTACACTCACTAGGCTAAAATGTCTCAAAATGTACTATGGGAAGATGTGACTAGTTGTTAATTCTTCCCACTTGGGTTATATGTTATCAAAATTGTGGTCGTTGCTTATTTGCTTTTAGCTTGTAACATTGCTATCTTACAAATTGTTTTTATTGCATTTCTTCGCTCACGTTTTTTTAAAACATGTTCTCTCAAATATGATTGAGGCTCGATCATATGCCCATATTGTTCAAGAATTACGATTGACTTGTTCGCTGGGTTAGAACAAGTACTGCAGAATCGTTATCTCATTATCGCAAGAGTGCGATTGTGACAGGTAGTATCAGAGCCTGGTTGGCTCCTTGAATCATAGTAATCAAACATGTCCGCTGCAAAACAACTAGGCAGCCTAAGCTGACCGGTTGATAAAGATTGACGATTAATTGCTTTACTTGAGTAAAGTTCCTACTTGGAATGAGGTTTTTGGAGTCTCACATGAATGAGCTTATAGCTAAAGTTGATAGGATAGATGAAGTTACAGGCCATCTTGAGGCAATGCTATTCCACGAATTAATGGTTAGGGTCAAGACCCTAGAAGATAAGGCCACAAGTGCCATTGTGACACCCTACATTATGTCTCATGAGCAAGATGCCATGATGAGCCTCATCTTTCCCTCACCTAGTTAAGATGCTCTGTGTCATTTATTACTAGAAGGATGTCATGATCATCTGTTGCTCCAATCATGTGACCATGTCGGTCTTTCATGGGAGTGATCTAAGGGCCACTTTAGGGGTAACTTCCAAGTCGACCACATGTCATGAACCAAGTTAAGCTATATATGTTAGGTCCCTAGATACTCAAGAAGTTATAACATCCTAGCTTAAGAACACAATTAAGAGTCTCTAAGTAGGCTACTTACTAAGTTTTTGTACTCCATCTCTTAAATATTTTTCAGGTAATCAGGAACTGGTTGGGACGAGAGTAGACTTTGTTGCAAAAGCCATAAATTAACCATGCAGCCTCCAACTTTATTTCGTTTTAAAATGTTTTTGTGTTTGTTTCTTATTTTATATTTAAAACTATGTTGGTATGAGCTCTACTTTATACTTACGTTTTGAATGTCTCGTTTTTATTTTGCAAAATTTTTTACTATATTTTAATGAGTCACAATCCGTGTTTCGAGTCCTCAAGAATCGAGTTGTGACAACGAATCCTAAAGACCGTCATAAAAGCTATATATCTTAAAGCCTTTCATAAGAGCCACGTGTCTTAGAGTCATGTCGTAAGGGCAACGTATTTGAGAGCTTGTCATAAGAGTCATGTATCTCAAATTCTGATATAGGGTTCTCGTACCTCAGAGCCCATTACAAAGACCAAGGAAATTAGAGCTTACTATAGAGCCGAGTTAGTATAAACTCTTAAAGTTAAAGTATATAGAGTTGTACACATAAGTGTTATAGGGTAAAAATAGAATAGAGTCAAGTTAACGACTAAGGACTGTGGATTGAGCACTAACTCAAGTATACGTTATAAAGTAAGTATAAGTACGTCGAGAATCTATAAGTAGGTTTCTTATTGAGTATTTTTATATTACTATGTTATTATATTTTTTTTAGATGAATAGTGGAATGCCTATGCTTTATTCTTTTGAAAGTGGGAGAAAAGATAAAACTTATTTAATTATTCAACAAAATTGAAGTTTGAAACTTATATAATTAATCTCTTTTGCTTACCTCGAGAAAAAAATTGGGCCAGATCTATGAGAAATTTCATTCCATTAGATTAGATATGATAAAATTTTAAAAATATGGGACAGCAAAAAGAATTGAGTATGAGGAGTGTAGACCATTGTTGATGGCCATGTTATACTCATTCCAACCTACATTCCTTCTTTTTAAAGAATTTGAAGCTTCCTATTGCCCGTCCTTTGAGATAGCTATTTCCCCCTGTTTTATTCTTTTGACTTAATTTAGTGTATATTGAAGAATTTTAGAGAATTTGAAATTCTTGAAAACCCGAACTAAGCTCGGAGAGTCGATGAACAAGTAAGTAACCACATGATCAAGTTGTAAGAAATACTTGTAGGAGTCAATTAGGACTATGGACAAATTAGTAAAAATCATGTTTAGAAGCCTATTAAGCTAGTTTCATGATAGCTAAGCCTAGAAAACTTAATGGTTTACGGTTAGCACAATACTTAGTTTTACAGCTTCTGCCATGCATAATTGTAAACTCTAATAAAGCTAAATATATTTATAAGTTTTCCAATATATCTTGGTTGTACCGATCGCTAGCACTTTACGAATTCTACTGAGTCGTTGAAATTCATGCAACTACTCGTCTAGCTCCTAGAATTCAACCCCTCTCTCACTCCTAAACACCTCAAATCAGTCTCATTCGTCTCCCTCCTCAATTCTCTCCTAACTCATTTTCCTCGATCAATCCTAAGCTTCAAGCTCTATACCAAGAGAAATCGACGCCTAAAAAAATCCCGTTATTAAGGATTTTCTACCTTGTTCTTACTTTTAACTTCTTTGAGTTTAGGGTTTAGGAATTTTCTCCCTTGTTCTCACTTTTCATCACCGTCATTAAGGAATCACCGTCATAAAGGACAATCAACTAAGAAAAGCTTAGGGATGTTTGCTTAGGCCAAAACTTATTTTATTAAACCATAATTTTGAATGCAGTGTCTCATGCATGCTGTATGTCATATGATTATGGATTATTTTTCCAGCATGTTATGTACAGACGTGTACACCACGTTATTATTTGCGTTCCTATATTTCTCATGGGCTTTCGACAACATGAGTGTACACTAGCCCATAGTCCGGCCTAAGGGGTACGTTGACAAGCTTACTTATAAGGGTCATGTCCCCCATGTGTGAATGTGTGTAGAAAATACTTTGAATCCAACCCTGTCGGTAAAAGAAAGTAGAACCAAGGAACAATCATAAAAATTAGGTCTCACTAGTCATGATGCATGTGGTATGTAGATGCATTTCTCTAACTCCATTTTAAATATTCAACCTATATTTAACATTTTTTCAAGTAAAGACAAGATTTCATATATGGATAACACGGTTAGTTAAGGAGGCTATAGAATAAGGTCATTGATAGATAGTTTATTTCATTGCTACAATAGTTTAGTAATGTTTTCATCTTTGAATTTTTTTACGAAACTCAGTACGCAAATTTTAAGAACTCGAAAACCCAAAAGAGAAACAAAGCCCTGTAGTTTTCACTTTCAGTTTGAAAAATTAGAGTGGGAGATAATATTGGAGAAGAGAGTTATGAGTGGTGGGAAGAACAACTTTTTCTCTTTTATCTTTAAAGTCAATAAAAGGCGAGACAAACCGTGGGTCGCAAATCCCATCTCATAGGATTGTTAGTAGTTCGGGTCGCAAATTCCATCTCATAATGTCAGGAACCACGAATCTCTATAATGATATGTTATTGTCCATTTTGAGAAGCTCTCGTGATCTTGTTTTTGGTTTTTCCATGGAGATGTATTCCTACTTATAAATCCATCATCATTCTCTAAATTAGCCAAAGTGTGACTCATTCTCAACCATCCTCAACCAATCATGATTAACCTCATCGAAAAAATGAATAAAAAACCATTCCCAAATTTTAAAAATGGAAAAAAAAAAAAAATCATAACTTGATTTCATGGGAAGTTTGATTTTGCTTGAATCACACTGAAATAAGTAAACGAAGCAAAACGAAACAGGCTCACAAAACATACTTTGTACTAAAAATACTTAAACACAATGCTTTTCGATGATAATACACCTGGCTAAACAATTCTTCTTCTAGAAATGCTCCTCGTACAAAGACTAAATTATATATTGACAATGCACTTATAATACAATACGTAACTATTTCTAATCGTTTATCAATCTTTCAATATATGACTACCACGTCCTATGATTCCAACGTCACACGTCTTACTATCATTTGCATGACACTTATGGATAACTAAACCAACTCAAGAGAGAAAGAAAGAAGCAATTAATATTGAGGTACGTAGGTTATTCATCAAGCAGCTGCAAAGGAGCAAGCTGATGAAGAACTGAATCTTAGTAGAAGTGCTGACATGAAAGAAAGGTACCCAACATCTAATTACATTACAAACCATAAAAAAAGACATGAAAAGGAAAAAAAAAAAAAAAAAAAAAAAAAAGCTCTTCTTTTACGGACATAATTAATTAAAACACAGTGTATCCAAGGTCCACCCGAAGCCCTCGAACACGCAGACACATAAAACACAGCAGAATTGGAGAGCAAGAAATGAAGAAAGACATGAAGTTGGCCTATGTCCTAACCATGGTTGGTTGCTTGGGTTAGAAGAAGAAGAAGAAGAAGAAGAAGAAGAAGAAGAAGAAGAAGAGGAAGATGAAGCCAAAGGGAACCCAAATATCTCCCAATGGCTCACATGCAAAATGCTTATTTTGAGAGCTCCATATCCATTAATGGGTCATCTCAAAATCATGGATGATGCTTTAAACCCTAATCCTAAATTTCTAATTAAAACAACAAAATAATGTTACACCAACAGCAATATTTGTGCGTTGGTTTACAAAAATTAAACCAGGTTGTAACTCCCATAAGTTCAACAACCATTGTTTCTAATTTTAATTACAACAAACTAATATGGTAGCTTAAGAGTTAATTAATCCCCTTACCCCAAGAGGAATATGTAGCCACTAATAATACTAAATTAATCCATAAAAAGAGAAGAAGAAGAAAAAGACAGACAATTCTTTAAAATCTGAATTTCTTCTCATATTACTTTACTCCTACTTCAATTTTAATTACAGATGATGATAATGAAGATCAAAAGTTGGGAAAAATATTAGCTTTTTTGTTGTTCTAAGTGATGGAAGAAATGGGTGTGCTGTTTTGGAATGAAATTTACAATTTTGATGCAAACCCAGCAAGTGTTTGTTTTTGAAAAAGGTGATTGTTGTAATGTCCTTAAGACCCACTCCTAGGGCTCATCAACTTACAACAAAAAGGGGGGATCACCCCTTCATAGCTTGCACTAAAACCATGCTATTGCCACATTTTCGCCAACTCAAGGCCAAATCCCTTGTTGGCCAAAGTTGGGTTTTTTTTTTTTTTTTTAAATGACCCCATCATCGCAAAATGAAATGAACAAATGAAAATGCATGATTTTGCTCCAACTTTGGAGGTGAGTTTTGGGGGGTTGGTTTGGTTCGGTTCGATTCGGTTCAGCCCCGATGAGGGGCATGTGTGTTGGTTGGTTGGTGTTAGAGTGAGTGAAATAAAGAGAGAGATTAAGAGATGGAACCATGGTTAGGGCGTAGGCATAGGCGTAGGAAAGAGTGTTGAGAGATGAGGGTTTTATGTCTCTCTAGCGATGTGGGATTGGTGTAGTTAGAGCCATTGTCACGCCTGTGGCACAGCAAAAAACACTGTCAAAAATATTAGTACATCTATATATATCATGAGTTTATAAGTAAGGAATATAATATAAAAGAGCCACTACCTGACGGCAGGGTGGGTGGCGTGAGCGGGAGAGACATAGGAGGACCACCATAGTGCTGTGGGAGCGTGGTTGCAGTTGAATTAATCCCAGCCGAGTACTGAAACAGATGGTGAGGGTACTGACCCCCATAACCCTGTTGACCAGAACCAGCACTGAACCCATTGGCTCCGCCGCCGCCACTTCCTTCCCCAAACTGGAAATACGGGTAGAACGCCGCCGCACCACTCATTAAGCCGCCGGGACCAGTACTATACATAGGGTACTGAGCAGTTGCGCCGCCGTACACATTGTAATAGCTCTAAATCAAAATTTAAAAAAAAAAAAAATTAATATTCCAAAGTGGTCGGCTACAATTTCAGGATTATAATGCATGAATCAAAGTATAACCAAACCCATACAAAAAAAAAAAAAAAAAATGGTCTGTTACAATATTAATTGCAAAAACAGAAAGTGTCCCATAAAACGACAAGACAAGAAAAACACCAAATTGGTTTGGTTAACTTTCACTTTTGAACCCTTTGACCAGATTGGTTCAGAATCTTTTACTTTTTACCCTCCCCTAAAGAAGTATTAAGGAAGGTAGAAAGAGAAGTTGTGAGTACAAACCGTAGGGTAATTGTAGTCGGGTGAATAGGAAGAGTACCTAAAACAATAGCAATGAGGAGGTGATTAAATGAATAGTTACAGTGGCAATGCATGCAGTAAAAAAAAAAAAAAAAAGGAATTAATGGTTGTAGTAATAAAGTAAAGCGAAGAGAGAGAGAATATATATATAATATAAATTTACCCATAGAGATTGTAAGGGATCCCTTGGTGGACAGCATAACGAGGGAAAGTTGGTGTTGAATGAAAAGCTGATCCAACATTCCCTCCAAATCCACTCTGGAAACAGCTCAATACCCTAAAGTTTCTTCCTCCACCACCGCCGCCGCCGCCTCCTCCTCCGCCTGCCAATTCCCATTTCTTTTTCTCTTTAACACAAATTGAAAACAAATGAATGATTAAAAAATTGTGGGTTTGGTGGAAATGATGATAGATTTGGTAGATCTGAGTTATAGTTACCGTGGTTGGGTGTTGAGGGTTTGGATCTTTGAACCCCAAGAGAAGCGAGGTTGCAATTGGCCCTCCGCCCGTCGATGACCGGAGCAGCATCCACGCAAGCCCTCATGGCGGCTTCGGGGTCCCGGAAAGTGACCTGAATTGAAGAGTTAAGGAGTTAGTTAGTTAGTTAAATTGAAGAGTTGGGTTAATTAAAAGAGTAAAGAAGAGACGTACAAATCCATAGCCTTTGGATCGACCGGTGGCCTTGTCGGTAATAACAACGGCTTCCAAGATATCCCCAAACTGTTGGAAGTATTTGTTCATGGTGTCCTTGTGGGTCTCCCAAGCCAAGCCGCCCACGAAGACCTTGGTGTAAGTGGTGTCTCCAAACTGACCTCCCAAGTTGGCTGGACTCATGCTCTTCCAACCTTCACTCATGCTCTTCTTTGGGATTTCAGATTAGATCTCAGAACAACAAATGGAGGGGTGAGGGGAGAGAGAGAGAGAGAGAGAGAGAGAGGAAGAGAGATACGCAATTAGGTAAAGAGAAAGTGAAATGGGTATTGGATTTCTTTTGGGTTGAAGTGGAAAAAAGGAAGGAAAGAGAGGGTGTTAAGTAATAGGGACATGGAACTATATACACCCAATAGAGCCCACCTTCGAGGACCAACAACACCACCTCTTTCTTCCTTTTTCTTTTCTCTTTTTTCCATTCTTTTTATGTTTCCCAATTACCCTAAATTCAACAATTTCTACTCCAATTTCTACATTTTTTTTTTTTAATTTTAAATATTGGTAAATTATATATTCTGGAGTAAAGGATGTAATTTTAACCTATTAGGTTTTTTTTTTTTTTTTTTTTTAATTTTTGGATAAGAGGAGGGAAGTTCACGCGCGGTGATGGGGCGCGTGGAGGGGTGTGGGTATAATTGAGAAAGGAGGAGGGGGAATGTGAGCACGCGCCATGATGACGTGGTTGTGTCAGATGGGAGAGGGTGTATTATTATGTCCGTCATCGCTGTCCTTTCGACTATTTTAAGGGGGTGGGGTTTTGGGGGAGAAAGAGAATATGTAAGTACCCTTGAATTTGCTTTTAATTACGTGAAATGCCATTTCATTCTCGTAGCTTAGCTGTATGCGGAATGGGATTAGATTGCAGTGTGCCAAAGATAGTGGCTGCTACCAAACGGAACGGTAACGGTAGAAAGCTCAAACCTCAACAGAGTTGAGCCTCACGCCGGGGTATATAAATTGTCCACTTTGATCCAAATCTCTCGTGGATTTTTTTTTTCTTCCTTTTTTTACTTAAAAGCTCTCACGAATAGAGATATTAACACTTTTAGCTAATATGAAATTTTGAACACATTCCGACAATACTTCCCCCGAACAAATGACCATATTGGCTTAAACTCAAATAGTCATGTCTTCAAGTGTTTGTTTAGTTTCCACGAGATCTTACTCTTATCAACTCTAGCTAGCTCTTCTTCTTTCTTAGGGAAACATTTATTTCCACAAAAAAAAAAAAAAAAACCATCATATTCAATGTTGAGTGCGTACACTTTCGGTCCAATGTAATTTTAGGACCAAAATAATTTAGATATGGAAGAAATGGGGTAGAATGTTTAGAACTAGATTTGCTAATATGTTCGTAAAAATTCAAGAGTGTTGAATTGTGATTGAGAAATATGAACATTTAGAGACACAAATAATTAAGATAAAGAAGACTAAATGCATGAAAGTTATGTCACAAAACATGTCACAATTGGATGGATATTCAAGTATCTACGAATGTCTAAGTCCTAGTGGAAGGATCTATGCATCTAAGCAATATCTTTAAAATAAGGAAAAAAAAAAAAAAAAAAAAACAATAGCCTTCCTTTTTTGAAGTTATATTTACTTATGTTATGATATGCTTATGAACTATTTGAGCGTTGGAACAAGGTTCTTTACTCATCCTTATAGTTTTTGGAGGAACCCTCGGGACTACTTTCGATTCACGTTTTCGGTCAAATTTCTTCATGGAATTACTGAAGGATCTTCCTTAAATGAATGCATCAAAGTTTAGTTTTTGATTCACAAGAAAAAGGCTCGAATCTGAGGGAGAACATTCAAAAATTTTACCTCATGGTTCCTCGCGGTTTGTGACGCTTCGACCTCTTACACCCCTCTATCCTTCCAAGAGAATGTCCTTGCGTCTAGATCTTGGCCGAGGGTGATTTCCCGTAGTGGTTCGGTGAGTTTTTTTGGTGACTCTTTGTTCTTTTACTCTTCAAGTTCTCTCAAACTTTGTTTCTCACCATTTTCTCTTTTGCAAGTGTTCTGTGGAGACTAGTGAGGACTCCTATAATGGGCTGAAGGGAAAAATGACTCATTTTCGCTAATGACTTTGACGGATTTGTTTTTTTTAAGTGTTATCGTAATAAAGTGCTATTTCAAAAAGACCGCTAGCATATAAGACGCTTCTAAATACTAAATCATTTTAGATGACTAAATCTAGAAAGAAAAGACAAAAATGTTTCTCAAAAAGATGATACCTATCTTTATACGGGTCACACCGATATAGATAGAATTAAAATGCTAGTAAAGAGTGGTCCTCTAAGAAAGTCAAAATTAGAAGCTTTATCCCTCTATAACTCATAACTTAAAAAGAAAGATGATTTAATAGTCTTTCGGAGGAAAAGAAGATAGAACTAAATAACCTTTGGAGTTTTTACGCTTAGACCTATGTAGTTCGAGGAATGTTAAAGTTAGATGAGGACATGAATATTCCATCTCGTTTAGAGGGTACATGGACTTGTCATTCCTAGACTATCTATAGAAAATGAAATAACACCCCGACTTTCAATTCGGGAAACACCTCAATAGATAGGAGAATTCAAAAGAAGAAATACTTTAAACATTGTTCCATCTCCGACCAACATATAAAGTATGTTTATTTGTAGAAATTGGGACCTCATTCTAAAAAAATGCGTGCTCAAAACAAATCTAAAGAAATTGGAACCTCGGTTAACCCAACACGACTAGATGTGGCCGGTTAACCCAACACGACTAGATGTGGCTATTTGCACTGTCCTTGAAAAAATATGAGGTCATAAACCATGTAATAAAATAATATTAAATGAATTATTTTTTTTATGAAGTTATAACATATAGATAAGAGTTGTTGATAGTTTCATCACAAGTAAAGATAAGACGTTTCCATGTCAAGGATTGAAACCTCTCGTTGTAGTGGGAGAGTTATGAAATAACCTAATCATTACCCAACTTAATTGAAACTCAATTGTTCAAAACTTATGATGATATGGAGAATCCATTTACTTTTAAAGGAGTAATGAATGATGTTGGCAATGATGAACGGATTAAAGTCATGAACCTCTTACTCGTGCCCTTCTCCTTAACAACACAAGACAGCAAAAAACTTGACAACAACAAAATATCCATAGTAAGTATTTGAAATACTAATTAAAATTTTCTTATTCACGACTAAATTGAATCCGAGTTTAGTACAGAGTTGGAGGCTAACCTTACACCAATGCATGACTTAACGTTGCAGCCGTAATCGAGACTTACAAGCTTTGGCCAATAAGTTAGCTGCAGGATAATCCTACCATTGCGGCACCGCTGGCGGAGGAGGAAGTTCCATTTCAGAAAACAAAACCAAACAGGGCACCACTTTTGTAGAACACAAAGCCAAAGGCATCGATCAACATCCACACAAACCTCGCCCTGAGCCAGCACACTAGATTCATGAAATTCCGTCTTTTTCGAAAGAAATTTTAATTCTACGACATATAGTATCTTTCGCTCTTTTGCACAGAAAATTCATCATTAAGTTTACATGTAGGAAGTTCTTGTAACGTACTCTTCTGTTTTTCAACTTCTTTTTCTTTTGTCTGCCTCTAGGCTTTTTTGGTTGAGAGACAAGTTTGATGTAACAAATGGACTTGTAGATTACTCTTCGCTTATTGATAGCTTTTTGTTTCTGATTGTCTCTGCACTTCGGTTCCTTTTTCTTCCATTCCATTGATTTCTTCTGATGGATTTCGATAATGGGCCAGGGAAAACACCGAGAGGATATTATCGACAGGAGGTTGTTGGAAGAGAGATAAAATGCGTAAATCAAGAGAGAGAGAAGGACTGAAAGTTTGACTGCTCTTCAAAATAGGGATGTGAAATCTTGTAAACAGATTTCCTATTTAAATACACCCTATCCTAAAAATGGGTGGAGAGTGGCCAACTGAATCTGTGCCACTCCCTAGAAAATTGACGTCTAAGAATTCGCTAATCCATTCGACGTGTTTGTCAAATGGTCAAAGGGAAATTAAATGTAAACGTGTGAATCTAAATAAAGAAAAAACAAAGGTTTTATCTAACAATCTCCTCCTAAAACCTGTGTTATATCTGCCTTATTTCGTTTCGTTTGAACTCTGTTTTGAGCCCTATGGCTCGGTGTCCCTGGCGGCATGTCCTCCTGACTCCACGTCTTGTTCGGCCGCCTCTTCTTCGAGTTGGCGCGCCGCCAGTCCAGGTGGTTCACCTCTTCCTAATAGGTCTTCCATCTTCCGGTACCTGGCCGAGAAGTTGACTGGTTGCTCTATCTCTAGCTTTAGGATGTAAAGGCAGTTTGTCGTGCACCGAACTTGCGTGAGCAACCGTCGTCGATCATCGCGGATCCTAAGTAGCCCGCGCTTAATGGAAATGTGGCAGCCGGCCTTATCGAGTTGACCCAGGCTCACAATATTAGCCTTGAGTCTCGGGATGAAGTAGACGCCGGTCAGCTTGTGATGACTGCCTCCCTTGTCGACGAATAGGATGGTGTCGTGCCCTTCGATCTCGACGACGGAGCCATCGCCGAATTTCACCGTCCCGCGAATCCCCGAGTCAAGCTCGGAGAACGCAGACTTGGCCCCGGTCATATGGTTTGTTGCCCCCGTGTCGAGGACCCATCGCCGGTGCTCTTGCTGCTCGCCTCTTTCACCGATTTGAGCGAGCACTCGCTCCTCCTTTAGTCGAATTGGCTCCCCAGGTGCATTTGTTATGCACAGTTGGAGTTCTTCCTCGGGTTCGACGCTCACCGGAGCAGTTATGCCGTCGTCGATTACCTCTGTGGATTTAGGGAGTTCTTCCTCGGGTTCGACGCTCACCGGAGCAGTTATGCCGTCGTCGATTACCTCT